CCCTTCATTTTCAGTGTATAGGTGTTCTTATGGGTGATGTGAATTTTATTGACAACATATGATTGTCTTTTATTCTTTTAAATCATTCAATCATTATCTTTTAATTGTAGACTTTAATCTATTTACATTTAAGTTGATTATTCATGTGTAAAGACTTAACATTATGTTAATTGTTCTGTAGATACTTTCTTTTGTTCCTCTTTTAGTGTCTTCCTGTGTAGTTAGGTGGGTTTCTTCAGTATTATGTTTTGATTCCTTGGTCTTTGTCTATAGTGTATCTACTATATGTTTTTGCTTTGTGGTTACTATGAGGCTTACAAAAAGCATTAGTATAATGGGTTATTTTAAAGTGTAACAACTTAACTTTTATAATAGGAAAAACTACTGTACATTTTAAGCCTACTCTCATTATGAATTTTTTATGTTCTAGTTTGTATTTCTCTATATTTCATATCCCTTAACTGATTGTTTTATTTATTACTTTTAATAATTTTGTTTTTAACTTTCACTCTAAAGATACAAATGACTTAATACACTATCATTATAGTATTAGAGTATTCTGAATTAGACTGTCTTCAATTTTACTAGTAAGTTTTATATTTTCAAATGTTTTTGTGTTATTCATTAGCATCCTTTTCTTTTAGTTTGAAAACTTTCTTCAGCACTTCTTTTTTTTCTTCTTCTTCCTTTGGTACCAGAGATTGAATTCAGGACCTTGCGCTCATGAAGCAGGGTGCCACTGAGCTACATCCCCCACCCTTCTTCAGCATTTCTTATAAAACAAGTCTGGTTGTCATTTACTCTCTCAGGTATTATTTAGGAAAATCTTTCGTCTTCATTTCTGAAGTACAGCTTTGCTTGCTGAGTCAAGCATTCTTGGAATGAAACCCTGTACCCCCTTTAGCACTTTGAATATCTCATCCCATCTTTTTTTTTTTTTTTTTTTTGGTACCGGGATCGAACTCAGTTCCTTGTGCTTGCATGGCAGGCGGTGAAACCACTGAGCTAAATCCCCAGCCCCCATCTTTTTTTTTTGACTAGCAGGGTTTCTGCTGAGAAGTTAACTGATTGTTGTATTGATATTTCTTTATATCTGATGTGTTTCTTATTAATTGTTGCTTTCAAAATTTCTTGTCTTTCATTTTTGATAGCTTGTTATAAGTCTTAATATTTAACTCAACTCTGTTTTGCATTGAATTATCTTAGAGCTCTATGTCCTTCCTATACCTGGATGTTGGCATCTATCTCCACAGTTGAGAAGTTTTCAGTTATTATTACCTTAAATATGTTTTCTGGTGGTTTTTTTTCTTTCCTTTTATGTTCAGGTTTGGCTTCTGGATGTTATCCCATTTCTGTAGGCTTTCTTCATTCTTTTGTATTCTTTGTTTACTTCTCTAGATAATTTCAAATGTTTTTTGTCTTCTACCTCACTGATTCTTCTGTTTGATTCTGGTGATGAAGCTATTGATGTTTTAAAAGTGAGTAATGGTATTCTTTGCATTATTTCTTGGTTTCTTTTTCTGTTTTTATTCTACTTTTCTTGTATTGTTTCCAATTTCCCTTTACTTTCAATCTTTATGTGTTCATTAAATTATATCTTTTCTTGTAGTTCTTTGAACTTCTTTATAATATCATTCTTAATTCTTTTGTCAGTTATTTCATAGGTCTCCATTTCTCTGGGTCTGTTATCGGAACTTTATTTTCTTTTGCAGGTGTCATAATTACCTGACTCCTTATAATCTTTGTGTCCTTGCTTCATTTTACAGACATCCTCCACTTCTGGTATTACCTGTGTTCTTTGGCAGGGGTAGTGCTTTGCTAGTTAGTCCTGTGTGTGATTTTGGAAGGGCCAACTCATGATGACCCTGGGAAGACAGAGCTTGTTATGAACTATCTAATTGACTGGCCCAGCGCCTCTGCTTGGATGTCAAATCAGACTAGTAGTTGGGCTCTGCTAACTGGTGAGGCCACTGGATGGGCTGAGTTATCTGGCAGACTTTTTGGTTGGGTTGTGTAATTACTTTTTGTTTGGTTTGTCACCAGGCTGGATAATTGTGCTATTTAAGATCTATTACTGGGCAGAGGTGCAGGTTGATCTCTGGTTAGAAAGAGTTGCTGTTCTAGTGAGGTGGGATCCAATGCTATGTTTCTTAGAAATGCAGGATTGAGGATTCCCACTCTGAGTGGAGCCAGGTGATGTGCTTTTGATGATGTGCTTTTTTAGCTTAAATGGCTCTTTGTCCTCCTGGATCAAGCAGTTCCAGCCCCTGTGCTTCTCTAAACAGCACAAAGTTGGGATTCTCCCTGCCTGAGTGGATTTTTTCTGCATGTGTGTGGGCGGGTCGGCTCCTGGCTGAATGGTGCACTTGTTTTTCTTCCTAGTCAAGGTAGTGTAACCTTTTCACTTTGACATCCATGGAGGTGAAATTCTCCCTATCTGCACAGGGTTATTGGGTAGGCACCTTGGCTATGTGGATCTGTTACTTGTCTTTGCAGGCCAAGTCATTGTATCCTCTTCTCTGAAATCCACAAAAGTGGGAGACTTTGCTTGGGTAAGATTATCGAGGTGATTTTGAGGATGGGTGTGGGAATACAGAGGTAATACCAAGATTTGTGTGAAATTCGCTTTCTTTGTTTCTACTCGACTTCTCCCTGGCTTGCAAAGCTATGCCATTTTCCTTAGTGTTCCCCATGAATTGAAACCAGAGTGGGCTTCTCAGAAGCATGTCAGAATTCTAGAGAAGGTGGATGACTGCCTCTTGTCTCTTTTCTCCTTGTAGAAATTGAGCCTAGGAAATTCTTTTTATTTTATTTATTTATTTATTTTTTTAGGATATTCTTCCCTATGTAGTCATAAGCCCACTTGGGGAAGGGGAAAAGTTGACATAGTTGGATTAAGACTGTTGCTATTCTCCTTCTGATTTGGATTTTGTTCAGTTCTGCATACTACTTGGGTGCCTCAGTCTTGTCATCAGGTGTTAGGGATTTTCCAAAGAATGTTCTGGCCTGTGGATAGTTGCCAGTTGAACTTTCTGTGGGGAGGAATAGGGCCCAAGACTTCCTACTTAGCCATCTTGCTAACATCATAAGCTTTTTTTTTTTTTTCTTTCAATTCTTTTATTGGTACATTTCAGGTATACAATACATTTACATTTATCATTGGGTGCTTGTACCTGTACATGATGTATCTTGCTTCTTATTTTTTCCCCATTACCTGTGCGCCCTTCACCCGCTCCACCCTTCCCTATTTACAAAGACTTTGTTTCCATTTTTTCCTTTTCTCATAATTTTTCCTTTCTCTTCTTTCCTTTCCCCTTCCCCTCCCACTTCCTGTACCCCTTTGGACCTTTTCTTCCTATTTCAAACTATCAATTATTTGTTTTAATCATTTTAATCCTTATTTACACTTTCAATTTCTCACACCAGAGAGACTATTCGGTATTTACACATGTGTGTCCTATTTACTTCACTTAAGAACATGGCCTCAATATGCATCCATTTAGCTACAAATGTCTCTAGTTTCTCATTCTTTATGGCTGAGTAGTACTCCATTTTATAAAAAAACCCCACATCTTTTTTATCCAGTTTCCAGTTGATGGGGACTTGGGCTGTTTCCAAGCTTTAGCTATTACGAACTGTGCCGCTATAAACATGGGTGCCCATATATCACTGTGGTATGATTCTTTTAACTCTTTTGGGTTCTTTGAGGTATCCCCATACTGATTTCCACAGTGGTTGCACCAGTCTGCACTCCCACCAACAATGGAGAAGGGCTCCTTTCTCCCCACATTCGCACCAGCATTTGTTATTGGTTGGTTTCTTGATAACAGCCATTCTTTCAGGAGTGAGGTGAAATCTCAGTGTTGTTTTCATCTGCATCTCTCGAATAACCGGTGATGTTGAATATTTTTTCATATGTTTATTTGCTGGTTTTACTTCCTTGTCTGAGAAATGTCTGTTCATTTCAGATGCCCATTTTTTAATTGGGTCTTTGAATTGGGGGGGTCTGATTTTTTTCTGTTCTTTATATTTTCTAGATAGTAGTCCTTTGTCTGAGGTACAGCTGCTAAAAATTTTTTCTCACATTGTAGGTTGTCTGTTAGCTCAGTTGGTGGTTTCTCTTGCAGCGCGGAAGCTTTTTGATAAGATGAGATCCCAGTTGTTGATTCTTTCTGCTAGTTCCCATGCTACTGAGATTTTGTTCATAAAGTCTTGCCCTATGCCAATGTCTTCAAGAGTTCTACCTATCTTCCAGTAAGTTTAGTGTTTCTGTTTTAATGTTTAGATCTTTAATCCACTTTGATCTTAGTTTAGTGCATGGTGATAGATATGGGTCTACTTTTAATCTCTGGCAGGGTGAAATCCAGTTTTTCCAACACCATTTATTAAATAGGCTATCTTTCCTCCATGAGGGTGGTTGGCTCCTATGTCAAAGATGAGGTGGCTGAGCACGTCTGGAGTTGTTTCTTCATCTTCTAACCTATTCCACTGATCCTCAGGTCTGTTTCTTTGCCAGTACCATGCTGATTTTATCACAGTACGTTTGTAGTATAGTTTCAACTTGGGGATTGTAATACCTGCTTCCATGTCTCTATTGTGTAGAATTGCTTTCATTATTCCAGGTCTCTTCTGGTTCCAAATGAATTTTTGGATTGTTTTCCCTAGTTCTATGAAGTATATTGTTGAAATTTCAATCGGCATTGCACAAGCTTTTAAATGTTTCTTTCTTTTGCTCTTTATTGTGGACATTTTCAGTTTCATGCTGTATAAACTGAATGAGAATTTTCATAAAATTAATTGAAATATTGAGGCACTAATAAATTAATGAAATAATAATAAATTAAAGTTGTACTGTAATTTGCAATGTGTATAATAATATAAAGAGAAAGGTTCTTTGACTTTTTATTAGACGTATCATGACTTATGTTTCTTGTTTTATAATATGTAAATGCTTACTATGAAACCTAATGTGTTGGTTTTATTTTGTGTTTCTTCTGCAGAGAGTGATAATGAACTCTCAAGTGGAACAGGTGATGTGTCTAAAGATTGTCCTGAGAAAATCCTATATTCTTGGGGAGAATTGCTAGGAAGATGGTAAATTTTTTTGTTATTAAAAACTTTATATTTACATAGTTGTTAATTTGTCACATAAATTAAAATCTGCATGTTAAAAGTTAAATGAAATAATATAAAAAGCTAACTTAAGGGATAATTGGATGAGGAGGCAGAGAAGGAAAAAAGGATTAGAAAAAGGAATTAAGATTTGCTATACATGTACCAACTCCCACAAGGAATGCAAACATTATGCACCTACTAATAAACCAAGGATCTACCACGCATCTACTAACGAACTAAAATTGATAAAATGTAATAATTACATTATAATTAATAGGTACTCTTTATGTTTGACTAGGTCTTCCCTCATATAGTCTTATGTAACTTACTTTCAGAAAATTCATTTGCCTTATTATTCTAATCAGATATAACAGTCAGAGATTTCAGTTTTGTGCTACATCACAAACATACTTAAATGTCTATTTTTAAAGTGATGCATTTCTTTTTTATCATATTTATTGCCACTAAAAGGGGTTACAGAGTTTAGAATTACTCATTTTTGCCACTAATTGTAAAGTGTCACTTAGTCTGTTTTATTCTTTCTGTTTAAAAGTATTTTACATTTTGGGAATATTTTACTTGGAACTATAAAAAAGGTGTACTGTTTATATTAAAAGAAATGCTATTTATATTTATGATAAATAAGTTCTTAAAAGATAATCATGACTCTCATGTTGGAGAAATTAAAAAAATCATGGTAATGAAACAGAGGACATGATATATTATTGACTGCATATATTAGATTTTATGCATGTAAAAAGCATGTAGGTAGTCTAGGAGAGATTCCATGTTCTGGGCAGAATTTTGTGTATTTGTACAGTAAGGTAGAGGTCAGAATAATTAAAACTTTAAAAAATCTTCTGTAGAGATGAATGATGTTCTTTGTGGTAGTTTTTGTTTATACCCTAAGAGATTCCTTATTTATAATTTAGAAAATAGCATGTGTATTTATAGTTCCAAGGTGTTTATTTGATTTCTTATTGTAAAGTCTAGAGACTGGTTTTATTAAATTTTGACCAAAGTGTTGATCCCTTTAGTGTTTTTTTTTGGTACCGGGGATCGAACTTAGATCCTTGCACTTGCAGGGCAGGCGGTGGAACCACTGAGCTAAATTCCTGGCTCGATTCTTTTAGTTTTTAAGGAAATATCTTGAGAGCAAGGAAGTGTCAACTGCATCTTCTTTATTAAAGAGAAAATTATATTTTATCTGTACTCATACAAATATAAAATGAATACATTTCAAAGGTTATGTTTAATTGATTAATGGAGAACAAGAAAGGTATTACTACCAATCAAAATGAAGTTTGATTTACAGATTTATGTACTTTACCTGATAGTTCATTTACACTTTCATGAACTGGAATCAAATCATTTGCATAGCTGTTTTTTTTTTTTTTCTTTTGGTACTGGGGATCTAACTCAGGACCTTGTGCTTGCCAGGCAGCCACTGTGCCACTGAGCTACATCCCTGGCCCTCATTTGCATAGCTGTGGGTAGAAAACATTTGCACCGCTGTGATTTTTCTACACATTATCTCCTATCTGTTGAGAGTTGAAACTAACGTAGTCAAAGAGAAATTACTATCTCAATCAAAAGGAAACTAACCAATCAAAGACTTAACTAATAAGATAAACGAATCTAGCCTGGAAAACAGAAATCACAGTAGGCTTTTCAGAGAGGTTTTAATGCAGAGAAGTAGTTTACAGTGTTATAAGGCTGGAAGGACAGAAAGAAGACAGTGAAAGAACTGAAATAGTAGAAAGCAGCTGTGGCCTGTGAAGGAGTGAAGAAATGAAATGGAAGAGGTAGTGTAACTAGAATCTGGGAACTCATAGAAGATCAAGGAGCTATTACAGGAACTTCTAAAGTGGATTGCACAACTTGTTGCTTAGACTCCAGAGGATACTCAGATCTATTAAGATTGAGAAGCAACTATCTGGAGAGGGGACTTGTGATTAGCTCTTTAGTTTAGAAGAGATACCCCGACCTCTGACTTAATAGAAGAGTGTTGTATGTTTGGTGCTGATGCTTCTGGGAAAGCCTGACTGGTGTTATATTTCTCAAGGATTGTAGTATAGTTTGTGCTGGGAATGCATTCCCTTCTTCTACCTTCAACTTGTACAAGAGTGTTCAACTGTTACCATTTGCAGAACTAACCTGAAACCAGCTGGCAGTGCGGTCTACTTAGTGTCCAGATTCTTAGGCCTTGCATCATTGACTAGAATACAGGAAAGTAGTTGAGAGGCAGTAGGTAAATAATTGCACAAAGGAATTAGCTTATCCTAATTTTCATTCACTCATTTATCTGGATCAATTAAATTAGACATTATTAGCTCTAATGCTTTTTAGGTAGGGATTTATTTATTAGTGATAATAAATCAAGAAAAGATAGCACCAACAGCTTACCCTTTGTCTTAGTCACTTTGTTGTCACTGAGACATAATCCCTGACCCCTGCAACTTAAAGAAAAAGAAATTTGTTTTGACTCACACTTTGTAGAGATTTCAGGCAATAGTCCTCTGACTTCAAGGCAGGACAGCATAGTAGACAGGCATAGCAGAGGAGGGTTACTTATAGCATGGCAGTGGGAAAGCAGGGAGCCAGCCGATGGAGGAGCAGGGAAGATAAACCCTACCAGGCCATGCTCACAGTGACTTACCTCTTCTGGCCAGATCCCATTCCTAACAGTAAGTCAGCCATAAACTCATCAGTGGACTTCTCCACTAATGATTATCACAGGTCAAACCCCACCTGTGAGTGCTTGAGGCTTTGAGGCAGCACCCAGATAGAAACCATAACACCCTCCTAATCTCCTTAACCTTAGGTCTGAAGAGATTCTTTTATGGTCTAATCATATGGATATGATTGGTAATAGGTAGAAACTATGGTAGCATATGTTTTGATACCATAGCTTGGCTTCTCATGCTGTATATTTTCTTCGCTCCCCACTTTAAGTTATTTGTGGGGGAAGCTGAGGAATTTATAGGACCTGAGCACATTATACAGATAAGCAGCTGTTTATTTTGACAGCTCTGCTGTATGACCAGGATTTATTTTTCGCTGATTCTTTGGTCAGGAATAAGATTGTATTCTTCTATGATAACTACTTCAGAAACCAAGGGCTTTCTGCTTACTGGATCTGTTAAAACTGAGAATTGAATGTTTACTTTGTATGGTCTAACATAGTCTTTCCAGAATAGCAAAGTAGAGCAACACCTAAAACTAATACCTTACACTTCAATTTAAATTAATCACCAAGAAGACATTAAGATATACTATTAACTTGTATTGTGAAACTAATTTTCTTGATAAAAATTTTCATCTTTTCCATAACTTACTCTTACTGACCAAAGCCAGTTCAGTTTGATAAGACATTTGAAAAGGGAGTGTGATTTAGTAAGGAAAAGTTTCTGCTAAAACTCAGGAGAAATAGATTAAAGTTCAATTTGTAGTGCTAACTTGATATGCTGCTTGTCAAATCATTTAACCTTTTAAAGTTCCATTTTTATTTCATATTTTGTTGTTGTTGTTTTGGTACCAGGGATCAAACTTGGGTCCTTGAGCTTGTGAGGCAGGTGGAGGAACCACTGAGCTAAATCCCCAGCCCTAAGGTTCCATTTTTGAAGTGAAAGTACTGTGTTTACTCATGCATGCCAGCTTTCTCTGTGTCTTAGAGGTGGAATATCTTTTTCAGAGTTTTTTTTCCCTCTTGCCCCTTGATTAGGAAAATAGCCAAATTCTTATTGTATATGTGTGTGTGTGTGTGTGTATTTATTTTATATTTTGGGGTACATCAGTCCTGTAGAATTTATACTAATCTGCTGGGTTTTTTCACTGAAAGGAAGATGAAAAAATGCACATTCTTATATTTTTAAAAGTTCAAGGGCCAGGGATGTAGCTCAGTGGCACCGTGTCTGCCTTTCAAATGCAAGGTCCTGAGTTTGATCCCCTGTACCAAAAAAACAAACAAACAAGCAATAAAAGTTCAGTTAGCAAGTCCGTATGTTCATTGGGAGAAGTGGCCAGGTAAGAATGCTAAAGGAAGTAGAGACACATATCCTTTTTAAATTTTTTTTTAATTTTTAAAAATTCTTTTATTGGTACATTTTAGGTATACAACACATTTACATTTTTTTTTCTTTTTTTTTTTTGATACCGGGGATCAAAATCAGATCCTTGCACTTGTGCAGCAGGCTGCGAAACCACTGAGCTAAACCCCCGGTCCAACACATTTACATTTCTCATTGGGAACTTGTACCTTTACATGATGTATCTTGATTCTTATTTTTTTCCCCATTCCTAGCCCTCCCTTCACCCCCTCCACCCTTCCCTATTTACAAAGACTTTGTTTCCATTTTTTCCATTTCTCATAATTTTTCCTTTCCCTTCTTTCCTTTCCCCTACCCCTCCCACTTCCCCTGTCCCTTTGGACCTTTTCTTCCTATTTTGCATTGTCAATTATTCATTCTAATCATTGGTACATTTTAGGTATACAATATAATGACATTCATCATTGGAAATTTGCACCTTTACATAATCTCTCTTGGTTCTTATTTTTCCCCCTTCCCCTGCCCTCCCTTCAACCCCTCCATCCCTCCCTATTTACAATACATATCCTTTTTTTTTTTTTTGGTACCGGGGATCGAACTTGGGACCTTGCGCTTGCGAGGCAGGTGACGGAACCACTGAGCTAAATCCCCGGCCCTGCATATCCTTTTTAAAGCAAGTCTCTTTTGATTTTGATTTTTTTTCATATTTTTTTTTGCATAGCTGTTAATATACTCAAAAAATTTGAATTTAAGCAAAATTTAGAAAAATTCTAATGCTTGTTTGCTTTTGGATGCCATTATTTCAATATAGATTTAAGATTCATAACTTAGATTCATTTGGGATCTTGGAAAATAGATCCCAAATCTGTGACTTAAGTTTGTACTTCTAGCTTCCAGTGAGTGTGTGGGATAAACCCAGAGGAAGCAGAA